TACAATTATTTAATTTTGCAGTTCGACAAAAATAGATTATTGTGATCAATTTGTAATTCACTGTTATACGTAAATACCTACATGAAACAAACCAAAAATCATTTGTGTCCACAATATTTGACGAAGAAATCCATTGGCTATATATTCTCTGTATTAAAAAACCAAAAAAGGAATATTCCCATTGTTTAATTAAATAAAAGATTCCTTTCTCTATTACAATGCCTTAATTGAAAATTCTAGCGTCAATCATTCATGTATCATAGTTTCGTAAATTATTTGTTTATGGTGCCAGAAGTCTTGTGGATTTTATATCACGTGATTAGTAATTGACCAATGAAAAACGAGATATTAATCATTTTTTCTGTGTATCATTTTAAAATTACAATAATTCGAGCTGACATTATGATTAATTACCATAATGCCGGCTCGAATTATCATAAATTTCAATCAATAATATATGTTTCAAATTCAGAAAAATCATGAAAATTATCCAATTTTAAATGCTTATAACTTTTTATATAGAACTTATTTTGAAAAACTGACTGGTAATTTAATAGAGCTTATCTCAAAGAATAAAGTTACCAGTTTATTTTTTCTAAATTTTATTTTTTTAAAGAATTAAAAGATTTTTAAGTATTACATTTATATTGTTCAATATAGACTTCTTGTATCATATCTTATTAAGAAAAAAATAAGAAGATAAAAAGAGTGTAATTAGTATTATTATATGATATTTAAAAGATTATAAAAGTATACTCCTAGCCAAAAAGTTTAAAATCACTTAGCAAATAATAAAAAAGGGGTTTTTTTAATGATTAACTAATTTATTAATCTGTAAAAAATTATATATAAATATTTTGCTAAATAAATAACAAATTTTTAATAAATTAAATTTTTTTTAATAAATTATTAGTAATTTAATATGAAATATTATTAGTCTTTTTATATAAATTAGATTAGTTATTAATATATTAAAAAAATTTTATTAATTATATATTACTTAAATATTATGTTTATTAAATTTTATATTATATATAATATAATGTAAAAAAACTCAGCTCAAAATCTTACAAAATTAAATATTTTACTATTATTAAAATCTAACAATAAAAAATCATTTTTTTTCAAAAAAAAATAAATTAATAAAATAATATCACATGAAATTTTAGATTAGCATTTCTGAAAAAATACTTTTAATTTTTTCAGATTTTTAGATATTTTTGTTTAGATTGAATATGACATTCAAACTCATCTTAAAGATTTTTAATTAAATTAAAGTCTAAATTTTGTCTAGACTATGCAGCAAAATTATTTCTAATTCTTCAATAAAATTAATTATATTTGCATTAGTATGAATTAGTATATTATCTTATTAAAAAACTATTTTTGATATCATGTGATAGGTAAGAATCTTTTTAATATATCTTTTATTATTAATTTGATTATTAATCCTTACTAATAGATTCAACTTATATTATAAAAATTATTTTCACATTATAATATCACTTCCACTATGTTTAACAGTAAAAATAAGACAATTAATATTATATTTTTCTTCTTGAAGATGCTAAACTTGAATTTTTCCATTATTTTAAAATAATATAAACCTAGATTTATCACTTTATACTACCTTTTTTTTCAATTATTTATAGACCATAAATATCTTTTATAGGTCTAATTTAAATGAATTTTTCAATAATATTAAGTTTTCTAAAGCAAATATGAATATTATATCATATTTTATATAATATACTTTTTATAATATTCTTATATATTACTTTTTCTGTAGATTTAACAAAATTTTTACTATTTTATTTACCGTTTTATGTCAATTTTTAATTATAATAGTTTTAAAATATCATTTGTCTCTTTCAGTTAACAATTTTGATCTTTCACATTTTGGAATAATACTAATAACCTGTTTTTTTATACTTTACTATAATATTATAAATAGTGATTTTTCTAAAGCCTATTTTTTTAAAATAGTTTTTTTGAATTATTAGATTCATAAAATCTGATAACCTTTTCACATTTAAAGTCTGTAAACTTTTTATTTTAACAATTTTTGAAGAAAATGAAAATGAAAAAATGAAAAAATAGATATGTATAGTGAAAATTATTTATTGATTATTATGTAATATAAAATTTAAATTACACAAATATGTAATAATTTATTTATTATAAATTATTTGCAGATTATAAGGATGATCCTAAATTTTTGATTAGAAATATATATAAATATAGAATCTTTATATCTTTTCATATAAAGATTTATCTAAAAAAACTTAAGGTTGAAATAATGTCTAACAATCTCAAAATTGCAAAATTTTAACTTTTCATAATATATAATTTTGATAATTTTATTTACTTAAAAAGTAAAGATTATATTACAATTAAATATTCTTTCACATTTTTTCTTATGATTTTTTAGAGAAAAATAAAGTATAATTTATAAAAATTGCTAATTAATATTATTAATTATAAAAAGTTTAAATTTATAAAATAAAAATTATATATCAATAATTTATTATAAAATATTTAAATATATAATATTATTATAATAAAAAAAAAATTAATAAATTATTTACTAATTATATTTTTGTAATTTATTATATACTAATTATTTAAATTAATTATTATAAAAAAATTATAATTTTATTTTAAATATTAATAGATTATATATATATACTTTTATATATTATATTAGATATAATATATATTAATTATAATATAAATATATTAAATTAATTTTTTTATTAATTTTTAAATAATTATATAATTAGTAAAATATATATTAATTTAATATTAGATTAATGCTATTAATAAATAATAAATTATCATCATTTAAACTTTTTTTTAAAATTAATATAATTTAATTCTTTGATTTAAATAAAATTAATATAGTAGATTAATTTATGTATAATTATATAAGATTTTGCAAAATGATATTTTAATATTTAAATAATCATTTTTTAATTTTTGTTTTAAATTAAATTATTTTTATAATATAATTATATTTTATATTATATAATAATATGTATTATTATTTCTTAAACTGTAGAACAGGTAAATTTGCTTGCAAAAATAATATAAGTTTTAATAAAATATAAAATATTTAATATTAAAAAATATAATTATTATATAAAAAAATATAGTTTAATATATATATTATCAATTTTATTAAAAGAAATTTTAAATTTATATGAAGTTTTTTTACTATTAATAAAAATCATAAAATTTCTTAATAAATTAATAAAAATTGTAATAATTAAAATTATTCTTTATAATAACTTTTATAAAATTCTATTATGATTAATATTGTTAAAAGTAAATGTTAATAAGATTGTCAAAGGTCAAAGAGAAAATTTTTTAAAAATTACAAATATTTAGCTTATAAATAATCTTAAATTATTTATAATATAATTTAAAATAAAAAGTTATTATAATATTATATATATTTATAAAATTAATTTAAAAATAAATTTTTTAAAACTTTAAATTTTTCATAAAAGTAAATTATAAGAAAATTGATAGTAAATAAGCAGACAAATTTGCTTGCAAAACCCTACAGTTTAAAAGATAATAAAAATATTAAATAATATATAAAGAATAATTAATTATATATTTATTTATTAGTATTTGTTAAAGTTCTAAATAAAAATTATTAATTTTTTAAATAATAAAAAAGATTATCTTTTTTAGTAAAATATTTTTTGATAAAGAATATAATTTAAAAAATTTTTTATTATCAAATTTTACATTAATATATAAATATTTTACATTTATTTGAAAAATAAAAATTGTTTTTAATTTAAAATAAAAGTGTTTGAATTTAATCACTATATATAGTTACTAATATCAATTTAAAAATTTAAAAAAAAGATATTAAATGCAATCAGAAATTTAATTATAAATTAATTGAATAAATCTTACTTTTCTTTTTTTATTATTATTATATTTGTATTTGCTTATTAAAATTATTTTTGAAACATAACAACTAATTTTAAAATAAATTTGTTTAAAAAATGTTTTATTTGAGTTTTAATAATTTCTAAATAAAGATTAGCAAGCAATTTACTTGATATTTTAAGATTTCGTTCTAAAATTCTAAATCTAATATTTAAAAGTTAATTATATTTATATTTAAAAATCAAATAATAAATTGGATATGACGAATTAACGCATCCCTAAACCTAACAAACTTTATTTATAAATAGACAGGATGACTTTGAAAATTAGATCTATTTATATGGAATATATTTTAGTGGTTATATGTATTACTAACTAATAACTAATACATATAAAGATTTTCGTTTACGATGTGATACGATTTTTTTTTTTTTTTTTTTTTTTTTTGATAATCTTGATAAAAGGTGATGTTGTGTGACAATTATACAACAAAGTTTATATAGTTAGAATAGTTTGAAGTTAGATTGTACGACTAAGGAAATATAAATTTTTGATTTTTTGGGACGAGTTTTTTTTTTTCAAGATTTCTCTTTCTTTCTCTTATTTCATGATAATGTCCCCGATTGCTTTTGATACCACTATTATTGAACAAAATCCTTTTGAACTTGTAGAACATACTAATGGCCTTACAAAAGATCTTACGAAGCCGTTTACAAATCAAGAAGAACAACCGCAGCAACAACAACAGCCGCAACAAGAGCAAGAACAAGAAAGCTCGCAAGATAAAAGTACTGTACAAACTTTAGAAGACATCATGCAAGTGGATGAATCACAAGAACAGCATGATAATTCTAATTTAGAACCGAAACCAGATCAACAAACTTCCCCACCGCAGCAACAGCTATCACCTAAGTCTGTACAAGAAGTGCAAGTCACGTCGTCTCAAGTGCAATTACCAAATTCTGATAATGTTGAAATATATACTACAAATTCTAGTGATATGGAAGACATTGTCGAATGCTCTCTTGAAGAAACTTTACTTAATGAAAATGAAGAGTAAGTTCTGAATTATTTTACTCTCGTTTGATATATCAAGTCTTGATGCTTTTTTGTATGCCTTTTTGATAGTTATGAAATGGTATCAAGAGCCGTAAATGTTCTTAAATTTCAATTCGAACAAGCGAAAGAAGATATTAAAAAACTAAAAGAAATAAAACGGAATGCTTTATCAGATCCGATAACGTATATCGAGAAACTACGTGATGGAGTAAGTATCAATAATTTGATGGAATTTCACTTATGTTAGAATGTAATTTTCTTAAATTATTGTTAAACGCGTGATTTTCTGTTTTTTAGACCAATGGAAAGATTCCAGAACGTCAATACATATTTGGTGTTCCACAAATCGATTGGAGTAAATATCATACTAGGCCGTCACAATATAAGCCGCCACCATGTCCAGGTAGACCATCGAAATTCTATATAATATAATTGAGTAATTAAAGAGATGTATTAACATGATTTGTAATTTTAGAGCAAGATTCAGGAAGCAGTTCCAAGGTTTGTATTATCACAATCATCATTGTTGAATTCGTTAATATAATATTAATTAATAACAATTATGATAGTCAAATGATACATCTTCGACAAATGATCGAGGAAGCTCACCTGATCTCGCTGAATTTGTGCATAAAAAAGCTCAAGAGTTGGGTTTTAAAGTTCCCCCAAATGCGGTTTTGTCAACGCGTACTAAAAGGAAAACTAACCCAATTTTTGATGATGACTGTGTTTTTACACCTCCACAGAGCGTGGGAGTCAATACACATATGTCAATGACTTCGAATAAAAAGGGAAAATTGGATTGTTATAGGACATCATCATCTATATATAATACACCAATTAAACAAAGAGGAGGAGATAATACAATAAGAAATGGGTTAATGAGGTTGGGAATTATTTTATAATCGAATATTTTATTTTATTAGTTAGAAAGAATATTTATAAGTATTTATATATAGTGCAGCATCTTTAAATAGTCCAATGTTTATTACATCTGAAGCGGATACGAGTTGTTCATCCACTCCAACAGTACCATCAAATCGAAGAAATAATAAAAAGGTAATTAAGAATAACTTTTTAAATTCTAACATTCTCTTTTTAACAACCAATAATCGTCAGAAATCTAGTGAGCTCAAATTATCAGAGGATTCGCCAAAACCAGTTAACTATAATATACCTTGGACAGATGACGAACAAGTATGTGACTGACCCAGTTTTATGACGAAAATATATATTTATTTATTTATTTTCGGTAGTTTGAAATAAATTAACTAATCATATTTCGTAATATAAGCGTCGACTGGTAGAATTACTTGCAATTTATCCAGATGAAGAAATACAATCTCATCGGTTTAAGAAGATTTCTGAAGCTTTAGGTACAAGAACACCGAAGCAGGTTGTTTATTAAAATTCCTTAAAAAACAATGTTTCTTAATTTATTTATTATTTCTAATATTATTGATACTTATAAAGGTGGCTAGTAGGGTACAAAAATATTTCATAAAATTGGCAAAGCATGGCTTACCCGTTCCTGGACGAATTCCTAGTGTTTCAGTAATTATTAGATAAATCAGAAGTGTGTAGGGAGGAAAAATCAATTCTCCAAACCCTCCCTACATACCTATAATAAGTTCTTTTAGAATTTATAAAGAATAAATATTGAATAGATTTATACCTTTTATATATATTTATTTATTTTAAATAGTTTACGACAGCAACAACGAAGAATTCACAATCTAAGAATAAAAAATCCGGGAGAGCATCAAAACCGAAACCGCCATCACTATCCCCTGAAAAACGGCCGCGACATCCAAGGTAAATAAATTGATATTTTTCAATTACATACCTTATGAATAGTTGTTATTAAAGAGTTCTTTGTATATAATAGAGTGTCTGGATTATCATATTTGGAAGAACGACCACCACCGACAGTATATATGCCTGATGATGATGACGAAAGTATGATCAAGGATGTAATGTTGTCAGTAGATCTTCCACATAACAACAATAATATACAACAGGTTTATTTATTTTTCAGTTACGTTTTTTATTCATAGTGACTTAAAAATGTTTTTCATATAAATTTTCTTTATAGACATATAATGTTGTTACAGGGCCAGTACACCATGGTTTTTGCGTAAGTTTATTTAAAGGGAAAAGCAAAGTTTTTTATCATTTTTGAATTTTGATTTCAATTTTTTTGACACGTAAAAATTTTTTAAGTGTGATGGATGTCATACGGATCCAATAATTGGGACACGATATCTTTGTACGGAATGTGATGAAAGTCATGAGGTTGATTTATGCGAAGATTGCTTTGGAGAAGAATCTTTTGAGAATGGTAAAATTTCTAAAAAGTATTTTTTTTTTTTTTTATCCTCTTAACTTTTATATTGATCCTTTTTTTTTTTTAAAAAAAAAAAAATACATATATATATAGAATATCATAAGAAAACACATAAATTTTTAGCAATTACTAATCCTATAACCCCTCATATTGATATGGATTATGTATCTGAAAGTGTTGGAGAGTATAGTTATTTAGGTGTTGCTCCACCTCCTGCATCATAATAATAATATAATAATGGTTTTAATTTAATAAAAAAAAAAATTTTAAAGGTCTAATGAGAAATTATGATTATTTATAAAAGATGACTTCGGTTTTATCATTTTAAGTTATTGAGTTTTTATGTGAAATTATTGTATTTTAATAGTTCTTTCAAACCTAAAATTAGAATTTAACAAACATAAATAAAAAAAACCTTATAATGTAAAATTATGGTTACTATTAATTTATATAATAAATGTACTTTTAAATCATATAAATTTATTTTATATTTAAATTTAAAGCTAATTAACAAAACTTGATTATGCATTTAATAAGATTGATAAATAACTTATGAATATATGATAATATTAAGTAAGATTATATTTAAGAATTTTAAGTAAAACTTATTTAAATAATAGAATAAATCTTAGAAAAATTATATTAAATCTTAATAAACCATTTGCAATCTTTAGTAAAACGGTAAAATTATAATAAAATTAATTTTAACAAAATAAAGGATTAGATATTTTTCAAATTTAAAATAGATTTAAATAAATAACCTTAGTTATATTATTAAATATTATTTCTTTATACAGTG